CTGTAATTCCGGCTACTCAGAAGGCTGAGGCGGAAGGATCGCCGGAGCCCAGCAGGTCGAGGGTGCGGTGGCCGGGAGCGGCCGCTGTACTCCAGTCTGGGTGACAGAGAGAGACACCAACTCAAAAAAAAGAAAAGAAAAGAAAAGAAAAAGACCAAACAAATTACTACTGTATAACATGTTATCGATGAACCTGCAATGCATATTGGTGACTGTTTCACACTTTGCCAACACATTAGAAAAATATGAGATACAAAATTTGGATTTTCTTGTCACAAATAAGTTCCTCAATGTCCAAAATTCCGTTCTAAGCCAAATATCATTACAACAAAATAATTGGCTCCAACGCCATGCTGTTTAATGTGAAGTGATTCGTTTTTCACTATTTCGTAATGAAGTATGGTAGAGTGGATGGTGGGTGACCCACAAGATGTCTCTGAGTGCAAGGGGTTAAACATAGAAGAATAACTATGTGTTTTTAAAAAATTTTTATTTTTAATACACAGATTCCAGGTTTCTTTGGGGTCCTCCCTCACACAGCCCCTGGGTGTGACCCCATGCATGCCTGACTCCTGACCTGTGTTTCTCTGGAAGCTCCTGGCAAGAATCAGGAGAGTCAACTGCGAATGGCCTCAGGGTCTTGGGGGAATCATTCACGTGAGCAGGACGCACGCAGCTCCTCAGGCCGCTGACACGTGAGCCCAGACAGGAAGCCCCAACACAGGAGTGCTGCAAGCAGCTCCTGCCGCAGGGCTGGTCCCAGCACCGGAGCAAGGAAGAGACGAAGCCACCCGGAGGGATCCACAAGGAAGACAAGTGGCAGAAGCCAGAATGCCCACCCTGGACAGGACACCCAGGTCGCTTTTCACTGAACTGCAGACGCTGTCCAGGCGCCTCCATACAGAAGGCGGAGGAGGGTGGCATGCGTGCTCCCTGAAACAGTCTCACGACTCGCTCTGCCAGGTGGAAATGGCCAAAGGACACCACAGGTGTGGTCAGGGAGCAGGCAAGAGCCCTGGCTAATGACACGCCTGTGGGCTTTTACAGATGGCGGTCGCGGACATCCACGCCCAGCTGCTGGGCTAGTGGCCACCTGGAAACCACAGCCTCTGAGTCACCCTCCACCCTATGCACAGGGAGAACAGCCGCCACTGAACTAACTAAGCGTAACCAACAAGCCGTCACGCCCTCTGTCCTCCTCACACCTGCTGCCTGGATTTGCATGTGACTGTGAGACCCCTAACTGATATGTAGAAACCCCTCTGCCCAGAACCTCTAGGGAGAAGAGACTTGGCAGAGCCCTGTCATCTTGTGCCACTGGCACCCAACTGCCCAAATCTAGATTCCATTAGGATGAAAGAAAAAGAGCCTAGCTTCTGCAGGTCCCTCACTTTTGATTTTCTTTTCTTTTCTTTTTTTGAGTCAGAGTCTCACTCCGTCACCGAGGCTAGAGTGCCGTGGCACGCTCACAGCCACACCAGCCACGACCCGCTGGGCTCCAGCGATCCTTCCACCCCAGCCTTCCAAGGAGCCAGAATTACAGGCATGCACTATAATTTATTGATTTATTGTAGAGACGAGGTCTTGCCAAGTTGCCTGGGCTGGTCTCGAACCCACAGGCTCAGGCCATCCACTCGCCTCGGCCTCCTAAAGTGCTGGGATGACAGGCTGAGCCACCAAGCCTGGCCTTGATTTTCTAGTAAATGCAACCAAGCCTGATCCTAGCTGGTACATGAAGAGAAAGAAATAGATAAAAGGAAAAAAGCTGAGGGTGAAGTGAGCAGGGTGAGCCGCATGGGAGACCCACGGGCTCCATGACACCTCCAGGCAGCTCTGCTGGGCCAGGGGAGGAGAGCCCTGGTCTCCACGGCAAGGGAGCATCTGCCCACCACACACCCCCGCAGGCCCAGGCTCGCCCATAGACTGCGCTGTCCTGTGTACACAGGCCCAGATAAAGCTCAGGCTGAGAACCAGGCAGCACTTCAAACCCCTCCCGCCCTCTTCTAGAAGTAACTCTCCCCTGAGGCAACATGCTACCTAGAACAGCATGCGCTGAAATACAGAGATGGGGTGGGCTGCGTGAGGGGACACCACTCTGCTACAACAGAGAGAGTTTCGTTTCCTAAGCGACGCCACCCTACACGAACAGTTCCCCTTTACTCGGGCTTTACTCTGTGGCAGGTGTGCTCACACCTGACTGCCACGCTCTGCGAAAGACTCAGCGGCCCCTCCTTCCTCTTTCAATGTTCCTCTACTGCCAAAAGATTACTGTGCCTTCCCTTCTTTTAGAAGTATTCCTGCCCTGACTTGTCCCTTTCGTAGCAGAAGCCCTGCCTTTTGTTTCAAGGAGATACCATTGTACAAATGTTGCCAGGCCACAAGAAGAAAAGCACAAGGTCGAAGAGATTCTAGTTACTATCCGCGATCAGCACCCTTACTAAGATCCTTCCTTCAAACCCTAATTCAAAAATCTTCAGTTTTGAATCAAAGCTCGTTAGTCTCCCTTGGCAGGCCTCTCTGACCTGGACTCTACGTCCATTTCTCACATGTCGAGTCAAGCGTGAAGCAACGTGGCTCTCCCTGCCCGTGTGCAAGCATCTCATCCATGCAACACATTTTCGCTGAGTTCTCATTGCACGTCTGCCACCTGGAACACAAGTGAACAGACCAGAGACCCTTGCCTCACTGCACACGGGCCCTGGTAGTGGGGGTACATGTCCTGTTTCCCTCAATGAAAGTCCTGTGCACCCCCCCCACCTAAAAAGGCCATGACCCCACAATCCCATTGAGAGAGTGAAGCATTTAACTCAAGACACAGAGTATAGAAGCTAAAGGGACAGGGTCCAATACATGAGACTGGGAAAAATAACTTCTCGGTGAAATGAGCAAGGAGTATCCCAAACTGTGTTGTACATTTATATTCTGTGGTCCAAGATAGGCACTTATTAAATGTAAACTTCCCGAGGACCAGGGTCACATAGTTTTTTTTTTTAAGGAGAAATAATTTCATTTTACATTTAAAGAATCTTAAATATAACATTCTAGGAGTGGTGAGGTTATTATTTTCTTTTTTTTGAAAACCACAACTGTATGGTGAAGTACCATATACAATCTGCATGAATTTCAATCATGACACATGAGACTTGAAAGCAGTTCCCTCTGCTTACAGCCAGCTGCTTGCTGTAGGTTGAGGAAAGCACAGCCCTCTCCTACGTGGACAATGGCAGGGCACAGTCCAAAATTAGACCCACCAAGGTCCATATCTTACACATTTGATTCCCAGAGCGCCTAGAAGCCCTAGCAGGAAGGCACTCAGTAAACACTTACCAAATGAACGAATCCCTGTTCCCAATCACCTCATGTGTTTTTATTAACACCAGAACAATGTGTGGCTGTTTCTAAAGGTAATCCAAAGTCCTGATGAACTAACGAGCTTAAAAAAAAAAACACGAGGTCAATTTCTAACTTAATGTTTCTTTCCATACTTCCACTTCTTTCTCTGTAACCCTGACCAAGAAGCCCAAATACCACGGTAAGTTACACAGATATAGACAGCTACAAACACTATGAGTTTGCACCACGGCATCCTAAGTTGGGGTGGAGACGAGGTTTTGTTCAGCATTGTTGTGGGAAGGTTCTGGACTGCCTGGTGAAACTGGCAGGATTACTTAATTCATCTGGTAAGCTCTGATCTTTCCTGAAGATGACTGAGCAGCTAGTCCTCAGCGGATATACTCAAGTTAGCTTTCTCGTCCCCACACTTCTGCCTACAAAGGAAGGTTTTGCTTTCAGAAAAGCTAGTTCAAAGTAAAGAGCGTTTTCCAGCAAATGCGGGCGTGCTTGCCCTTCGGAGGCCACGCTCCCTTGCGCCTGCCAGGGCTTCACCGGAGACGAGGGCTCACCTGAGACGGGGCACTGCAGGAGAGCCCCGACAGCTCACTGATGCGTGCCGCGGCCGTGGGGTTGCTGGAGCTGATGAGCACGGGCGGGCTGATCTCCATGGAGTGGCGGTGCTGCGAGGACTGGGAGGACTTGCTGGCCATGGTGAGAGACGTGAAGGAGTGCCGCTTTTTGGTGTTCTTCTTGGTGTCGGGGTGCTTCGGGGTGGCGCTGCCCTGGGTCGCCGGGCCACACTCTCCAGCATCGACGCCGGGCCCAGGAGGCTTGTCCCACTCTATCAGCTGCTTGGCGGCTGAGTTGAACTGCAAAACAGCCAACAGCCGACCACGAGTAAGGTTAGATGATTTGTAAGACTCTGCCGAGGCTTACTCTCAGCATGACTTTACCAACTTGAAGTTTGCCTACACGAGAAACTGATTTTTCCATGTGAGGTGAAAAAAGTCTTCTCTCTCAATTCTTGGATTTCATCGTATCTAGGTCACAGGTAGATATTAAGTCAAGAATAAACAATTCCGACGCAAGAGGAAAAGATATTTTAAATTTTATTAAGAATTTTCAGAATGTCCCATTTTAAAACTTGCCACTAACAAATGGAGGTTCATTTCGGCTCACTGATGAAGAACCAACTAAAAGGCACATTCATCTGACAGAGCCCCCGCGACCCGAGAGTGGCATCAGCTAGAGCACAGCTGGGCGTTGAGAGTGACTTCCAGGCTAGGCAGACGGAGCAAGAAGACAAAGAAGGAAGGCGCTCGCCATGAACTCGCCATCGACGCCCATGCACGTGACCCTCCTGCTCCTAGCTCTGCAACAGGCTTTTGTCACATCCATGTGTCAGTGGCCTTCGCAGGCGCTCGAGCTTTCCATCATGAGAGGGAAGCCACGGAATGCAGGTCCTGCTGACAAGCGACCAGCCTCCTGGAAAGTCCCATTGTAGAGCAAGGCACAAAGGCTCAGATCTGTGCCCGGTGCTGACACCAGCAGCAAGGCAGGAAAGGACACTGGCCTTTTGTTTTCCCCGAGGTAAAAGAAAACACTTTTGGAAGGTTTCAGTGATAACAAGCTGCATGTCACTTACCGGGATACTACAATAATGGGAAAATATTCAGCGCCTGGCTTAACCTGTTTGTAAAAAACAGTGATGAAAACTAATGAACTTTAGGCCGGGCTCAGTGGCTCAGCCTGTAACCCCAGCATTTTGAGAGGCGAAGGCGAGAGGATTGTCTGAGACCAGCCTGAGCAACTTGGTGAGACCTCATCTCTACAATAAAAAAAAAAAAATTAGCCGGGCATAATGTGTGTCTGTAGTTCCAGCTACTTGGAAGGCTGAGGCAGAAGGATCGCCTAAGCCCAGCAGGTCGAGGCTGCGGTGGCCGGGAGCGGCCACTGGACTCCAGTCTGGGCGACAGAGTGAGACTCCAACTAAAAAAAAAAAAAAGAAAACTATGAACTTTGTAAAGGCGATGTAGGTAATAATAAGAAAAGCAGAGATTTTTTTCCCACCTCAGTATTACATACTGGGCACTTCACAAAGGCTTGCATTTAAAAAGGATGTCATCTGGTGTTTTTCCCATCCCCTGCACTGTTCAGGCCGCGCCCTCTCAGCCTGCTGATGGGCCCACCCTACTAAGCAGGAGAAAGCACATCCCACCAGGTGAGGACTTGCCGTGGTACAGGCAACTCCTCGAAGCCATGGTATCTGCAGGTCAGCACCCAGAGGTGACCGCAAGGGGCAATAACTGGCTCCTGCGGTCACCGGGGGACTTGAGTTCAGGTGGTTTGTCGGACCAATGACCAGTAGAGTAAATGTTTTTCAAACCCGAACACACCTCTTCTTCCTCAGATTTCAAGAAGGTTCTCCATGTGATAAATGTTCAGGAATAAAAGGCAGTAGCACCAGGATGACACCGATCAAGGCCTACAGTGCCTGTGTGGGAGGCAGAATCACGAAGCCTTCTCGTGGGGTGTGTTTTGGGATGAAGAGAGGTGATGCTTCCAAAAGGTGGCCCCATCACAGCACTGTAGGGGCCTTGGCCAGGACATCCAGCTTGACAAGCCCTGCCTCGTCTTGCCATCCCGCCTTCTGGGTGACCCCCAATACCCAAAGGAAGCCAAGTCATGTGCTACTATTCTGGTGGGAGTGTTCCTACCCTCTGTGCAGCACTCTAATGTAATAAGCTGCAGTGACCCAGGTAGGGCTGGGGTCTTCCATCCTATAGGCTGGGCGTGAGGAGTCTAGGAGCAAAGTGCATTGGGAGTTACTTCATGTCAATCTAACTCAACATCACCCAGCAATGCCAGAGGAAAGGACACCCAAGAAGCTTACTGGACCCCTCAGGACAAATCCTCAAAAGCAGGAACCTCATTGGCACCTGCAATCCGGGTAGTACGTCCAAGATGGAACTGCTGGGCCACAGGGCTGGCGTGTTGAGACAAATCAATGCAGATGTGAGTGTGGGCAGGCAGACACATCCTGGTGTGGCAGAACCAATGCATTGGCCGACAGAGGCCACAGGTCTAATTCCAGCACTGCTGTGAACTAACCGCAACTGAGGAGACATTCACCCTGTCACTCACAGCTTCCTTGTCTATGAAATATGTAGGTTGAAGCCAGGCATGGTGGCTCACGTCTGTCATCCCAGCATTTTGGGAGGTGGAGGCAAGAGGATTGCCTGAGCCCATGGGCTCGAGACCAGCCTGGGCAACATGGTGAGACCTTGTCTCCACAATAAATTTTTTAAAAATTAGCTGGGCATGGTAGTGCACGCCTGTAGTTCCGGCTACTTGGAAGGCTGAGGCAGAAGAATTGCCTGAGCCCAGCAGGTTGAGGCTGCAGTGGCTGGGAACGTGCCACTGCACTCCAGCCTGGGCAACAGAGTGAGACTCCTACTCAAGGAAAAAAAAAAAGGAAGAAAGAAAAGAAAGATGTAAGTTGGAGCTAATGACCTTTAAGTCTCTTTCAGCTTTCTGCACATAAGACATCTCATCTTACTTTAAGCGGACATGGTTCACTTTCTATTTCATGTCTATTCCTCTGAATAGCCTCACTTATTTTTCCTGCATATCATTTGCACGGGTGGACAGTAATATTTGTTAGCAATGTGTTGTCATACTTTAAAATTACTTCATGCAGCAACTAGGATAGACTTAGAGTCTACAATACTGAGTGATCTATTACAGAAGCAAAGAACTGAGTACTATATGTTCTCACTCATGAGTGGACCTTGAGCCGGGCTCGGTGGGCTCAGCCTGTAATCCCCCGCTTTGTAAGGCTGAGGTGAGTGCATTGCCTGAGCCCGCGGGTTCGAGATCCGCCTGGGCAACTTGGTGAGACCTCATCTCTAC